GGAATGTCCGAGTTGGTAGACACCAACGGTGTATTGGACAGGAGTCCCGAGCGTGGCTTGCGGGCTGATCGTGGAGTGGTACGTAACCTACTGAGCGCTGCTTGAGTATCGAATTGATTTTGCAAACGAGCAAGTTCAGCACGCTTAGTAATGTCCAGCTCATTAATAACATGTCAGATGACATCGTGGGTTTTGTCGCGATGTATTGAGATGCCATAAATTCCGATGAACGAGAACGAAATACGCAATTTGCGCGGAACAGAGGTGAGATGTAGTGGACCGTTTTGCACGGTGTCTCCTGGTGAGGTTGGTCGAAATCAAAGGAGCGCTTGCATCAGCAAAAACCTCGGCCTCTTCAATGAGAACTGATTTAAGGTCGTCTCTCGACAAGAGCAAAATTTTCAATACTTGTTGAGCTAATAGGCCTACGCTACGGAAAAGACTTCTGATTTGTATGAGGCGGTGGTGGCGTGAAAATATAAGCACAGGAAGTGCATGTTGAGCATTCACTTTTGCGCAAAGTTTTGTGAAGACAAAATACGTGCAAACCCAGTGTGACCCGCAGCTTTTGAGGTCGACGTCTTACGTCGATATCGTGAATTCAAAGTACTGGTACTGATGAGGACGATGAGACTTTGTAACTAGGTCCGTGGGTGCTGTCCCCACATCTTTCAGTAAACAGGGATATTCTATTGAGCATAGTAGACACGCCTACATTTAGTATTAACTTCGATCAAAACTAATTCTAAATGTTAGTCACTTTTGGTTATAAGTTAAAGCAATTACGTTTGATTGACTCTCTATTCCGCTCTTGAGTGTAGCTCAGTGACCCATTTCCATAGCGTTTTTAATGCGAAATCTCTGGATCATAGATTTCTTTGCAAGCTGCTTGACAAACGGATCGCAAGATCAGTCGGATAGATATATTCCTAAGCATTCTCTTCGTTCTCTAGTACTTGGCCTACTCCGGTCACCAAACTATACTCCACCAAAGCGCACAATCAATGTCCCTTGCCGAAACATTGATTCACTTGCCCGAATGAGCCAACGCCATACGAAGATAACAGCAACCTTTGCTGCACAATTCTATTCACAAGTACCCATGAATCTTTATATGCATTTTTTTGTTGTAATGCAGATAATGAACCAATAAAAGAAAAGATACTTCTTGACATTAAGAATATATTATCTTGTACGTATAGCGTTTTGCGCAGCAAATGATACAAACCAAACTGACGTACTCAATGCTGACTGCTGGATAAAGCCTGGAGCACAAGCAGAAAACTGTTTCAAGTGCTCTATTGTCGTAAATTCTGCATTAACAGACGCTATGAGCCAAAGTGAAACAATGACAGGCCACCCAAACAAAGCACCACCGCAAGGATAGGGTCCCACGTATGATTTTTCTCGGATGTTTGCTCTTTAGCAAATCGATGATTTAAAACTTCATATGATTCAAATTAGGCTTACAAGACATACGTAAAAGTCGAGGCAATTATGTGGCCACGCAATCGAAGTTACTGGAGCACTAGTATCACTAGCCACTTACGATCCAGTTCGCTAGTGGTACGCACTGTGCTGAAGGATCCCTGCTTAGACATAAATTGTAAGTATCCACCAGTTTCAGTGGATCATAAACTGATCATCCAAATTTGCTACGTTCTGCTGTCGGGCTACCGTTACCTCACAAAGAAGAAGCCTTGGCTCTATGAGTTCGTGTAAAGCAGCGCACAAGTAATGGGCCGAAATGCCCAACTCCCTGCGAAGTTTAGAGCCATTCGAGAAGCGTTTGCTTTCATTCCAAAAGTGACACCTTTAGAACTTGGTTTAGCATCATAACGTACTACATATCTGCTCTACTCTCAATCATAATGTATAGCTCAATAAAACAAAGCTTGACGCTAGCGGCTCCTTTTTGAAGTCTGCATCAAGTGCTATACCATGATACTTTGCTGAGCTTGCTCCATATCCGAGAGATGATAGTCATGTGTAAACACATCTGGTAAGACAAGCATCTGGTTGCGCCGCTCGCCAGAACAAAACCTCTTGAGACTCAGATTCCTGGACTCTTATAATGCATCATGCAATGTGAGAACACAAACTGCACTGGAAGGTATTCACCTTATCAGTAGCGGCTCTCTCAAGAAGATTTCAAATCGAAAGTCCCTTCCCAACTTGCCTAAATGGATCAATTATCCGTCGAAGAAGGCTCGGTTACGGTAGATGCCCCGCTAGCCATACTTTGAGATGCGGCTGAGGTGATCTATTGTAAAAATGGTTACGGTGACTCTCCAAGTCCCGCCCCCAAACCTGCATCTTTACAAGAATTACAAGGTCGAGTCATTCTTTGTACGCTGCAACTACATGCTGCGTATTCAATGTTTCAATGATCTAAAGCTGAGAGCTTTGGGTCGAGGAAGACGGCGCAACACGCGACAAACGATTCGATGTAGCGACAAAGTTTTGAAACTCTTGTATCCCAAAGCCTTTGACAATGTAATGCCTAAAAATTCTGACTTATCCACCTAACGCGTCTTGCTTCACCGATTCCCGACAGCACCGTCGTGGCATGTGGCACTTCAGACCTTGATTCGGCGAAAACCTGCAACCTATTTCAAAATAGAAATATTTCACCTCAGATTCATACGTTGTAATAAGGATAACTACTATCGGCGAGAAATCTGGAGACAAGGTCACTACGGCGACGCATGATCAGTACTAAACACAAAAATCGTCTGAGGCAAGCAGGCGTGCCTTAAGCTCCGCAAGAGCATAGCACATCGCAAGCACCTTTCAAACATGGTATAGATAGACATCTCCGCCGCTTTAGGCTAGCGAGATAAACGCAATGGTGCGCTCATGGTCATTAACATCCGCAGCCTATGGAGATGCTTAAGGCGTCGCAAACGATATGTAATATTAATCCAGATTCGGAAGAAGTAGAGCTGGTGCACGTTTAATATTATTCTTTTGGGTGTTAAAGCATCCCAATCCCTAGCCAAATGATGGGTCGTGCCATGTCGAGATACTTTGCACTTCACATGTGCAAATATTCGGCCGAGCTAAGCCATTTCCTTCAAGCGATGTGGGGCCGCGGAATTGACCAATCTCCAATGGCTTGGTTCTTTGTGGATCTTCCTGCAAACCATTCCTACATATCAGAACTGATAATTCCACTAGCATCAGATACAAACCTATCTACGTCGACAACAGCGTGTTTATCCGCGTCAACTGAGCGTAATCGATGTACAATATTCAATAAGTGTCACAATGGCGGCGGACTCACTTCCGAAAGCGGTAACTATTGTCATGTTTATAGAGGTAAACCAGATAAAAGGGCGCATACCCAAGCCATCGACGTTTATCTAGCATCCTTCAAGGTGGCAGTGTGCACTGATTCAGTACGGAGCATGACCTCTGTGCTGCAGGGACTACTGTACCGCTTCTGAGACGACGATATCTAGCCAAGCTGAAGAGGAGAAAGTAATAACTTAGATGTCGAGCGGCACCTAGGTATTAACCAGAAAGGCCTTAACAGCGACTTTATTACTTTGACCAGTATTTTCGACGTAAGCCACACGGCTGCGGTTTCTATTACTGATTTGGTGCGTTACGATTCAGCCTCTGCTTGAAAGCAGATGCGTATTTGCCGTCAACGAGAAGCGACAATATTGCGGATCGCCTAGAGCGAGGTTGATCGACAGTGAGCTGCAGACACATGATAAAAAGGAAAGAAGCAATTGTATATCGTGACCGCCATGATGTGTTTTTAGTTTGTCGGATAAGAACAAATTCAAGAAGAAATCTTCTAAGAGTAGTTCTGGCAAACTGAATCGAAGCCATCCGGCGTCGGATTCTTCGGACTTTAAATCTACGGAAACGAGTCAAAATTGTCAAAGCGGCTTTTGGTCGCATTCTTAGGGGTATCGATTTAGGTAGGCGCGTGTGGAAATTGAGGCCTTGACATTACTTAAGGCAATCTAACCTAGTCATGATTTCTCGTAATGGCGAATCAGCATTACCGTGAAAATGGCCCACCAAGCAAAGCACTAAGGCTTCATCAATGCATGACAAGGGTGTTTATTCACTTATAAACGAACTGGCAAGAGTATCTTTGAAAAGGAGGTATCCCATATAACTCCCAAAAAAATCGCTTACTGAGCTCGAAGAGATATTTTAAGAACATGTGCATGAAATCGGTGACAGTGAAATCACCGATTTGGTACAGTTGACACCGGAAAAAGAGCTCAAGTCTCATCATACGTCTTGGATGAACTTGATGTTGAGATTACTCTTAAATCACTGTGTGTCATATATTGAGGTGAGTATTCTCGTGAACCCTGCAGAATATCTTATTCTGCATTAAAAGAGTAGTCAACAAGATGACGGGAGATCCAATACGAGTGACATTCCGGATCAGGAGATTCGCTATGTGACTGACTTGTCCCTGGAAGTAAACATTGCATCACATGTCAATCGCTTTTAAAAGCATGTCAGTTATGTCATAGATGCTTTCGTCCATGCAAAACTCGAAGAGAGATCGGTGAGCGAGAGTAAATGTTTCTACCAGATATCAATTTTCTGAGTCCAACAGACTGACGGCTAATAGCGAATTGTATGTTCTTATGATAAGCTAACCGTAGTCGCCCGTTCGGGTACAAACGCCATTTCGTCGGGTAAACGTACAGCATGATTGGCTGTACCTTGCATACGCACAAACCTATTATGACCTAATATTATTCATATTTGTGTAGACAAATGTATGCATCATCATCATATACAAGTGTGTCATGCTTCATTGGAGAGCACGATGCCCAACATGTCGTCACGTTTGATTCCCGCAGCCAAAAGCAAGTAATCACTTTTGCAAAGTGATTACTTGCTATCATGATTGTCTTTTGTGAAAGGTCAGGATACATTTGCTTGGCGCCAATGCATTTGTGACCTATACCGATCATGCGTCATTGAACACAGCGTTTTCGTCACTTAATATTCTGTATAAAGAGGTAAGATGAGAATGGTTCCTTGCTGGATACACCTTTGAGACTTTGCATAAGCCGAATCGACTTTATGTGGCGTTGGACCCAAGTTTGCGTCACTCAGGCTATGAACTGTCTTGTATCGACAGTTTTTTGTACGGCAAATAGAAGTCGTAGCTTCTTCGAACGGTCAACGTCTAGCCCATGTTCCAAAGCGAGAAATTTTGGAACCAAAATGCCAATCAAAACCCTCAGATGTTGGTATAAAAAGATAAATGATGACAAAAAATACTTGGTAAAAATATTTTTTTCAATTAAGCCGTTGATAGGCAGACATAAAGTGTATTTTTACCTAAAACCTTAATGTGAGCTTACACCATAATAGGGTACGTACCCTATAACACAGTCAGCTTATGCACATCAGTTGGTCACAAATTTTTATATTCCAAGCACTTGGATACAACTACAATTACTAACGGCCGTTCAACTATTACTACGAAGCAACATCCTTTGTTTACATTGATGCGGCCTGCTGCTTTGTCCACTTTAGCGTGCTATCATAGCACTCCAGTATAATTGGCGACAATACTGGCATTTCAATTCTCATCGATTGTATATTGACCTCGTAAGAAATGTTTTTTCGTAAAATTCTGCTTCATTCTTTTTATTCACAAAAAGTATTTGCAAAAATGTCGATATCGCTTACCAACTGAGTCTTTACACAAGATATTGCCAATCAAAATATGATATCTTTTCACCATACAAAACGATCGATACTTTACAGCTGGTAATACTTTTGTTCATAAAAAGTGATATAATTGTTGAGTCTGTTCCTACCATAGCTTAACAATAAGATTAAAAATGTTCACGTAATAACAAGTGTACGTCACCATCTTGAGCGTAGAGTCACGTTGTGATCGTCATCTTGCTGTAGTCTTGTTGAGAGTGAGTTTACAGTATATGAGTTCAGAGCGTTGAGCTTGTATGAGTAGATTCAAATGTATTAGCTTGAAAGTGTACTATCCAGACTTGACATAAGAATAGTTTTCGTACTCGTTTTGTAGTCGAATTTCAGTTTCTCGTGATAAGAACACTTACTTAATGCATTGCCTATCCAATACAAAGCAACAGTGTTATCCAGTCTCATCTCTAACAGCTTCCTAAGAACCAGTAATAGCCTTCATCTGCTCTCAAAAGAGACATAAGGTGTCGTTGTAGCTAGTAGTCTGCCTCATTACTCGATCACTCAATAGCAACAATGTGTACGTCAGTCCATTACTATTTCGAATTGCAATACTAAAAACAACGCTTTCCAATCCTCGAAATTTTAAGTGCAGCATTTTCAACTGTCGTCATGCCAGGTTGCGTCTTTAAATCTACAACTAGACGATCGAGTTCTACAGCTGCTTTTAAAGCACATATGCACCATTAAACACAAGTTGCGTTGCTGCGTCGCTAATTAAGTGGTAGATAAATCACATGTATACATGTATCGATGGATGTTGATATACAAAAAGCATCTGATAGATAAATAATAATAATAAGAATAAGAATATTTCTATCAGAATCATAACAATTCTTTCGTCTCTCGTTCTGAAAAGATTTTCAGCACCACGACAGTTAGATACGTTTCTATTTCCATTTGAAGAGATTCATAAGTCGCAGTCCATCATTGACCCACGACCCATATTTTTGGGTCGTATTATCGCATCAATTTGTAGCAACTTTTCGAGTCAGCACATGTAGTAATTGGAGCAAAGACGGCGGAAGAGAAGTACCGATCCACTTTGATCTCTTCTTCCCAACGTCACTGCCACATGTCTTCAATTTCTTGACAAGATGTACATGGCACTTTACATCTTAAAGTGTACTACGGTACCTTGCAGATGGTCTCAAAGATGAGGCAATTGAAGCTGAACAGACAAACTTTTCATCACCTTTTTCTATAGTCTATTTCTTGGACAGAATTATGCGACTTCACGACGTGTCTCGGATCTATTGTGTATTATAGTTGAAATATTTCAGAGTGAAAACTTCATTCAAGTATTTCCCATCGCATTCCAAGTCGTTTTGATTGTGAAAACATCTATTTCTTTGCATTGTGCTACCAACATTTAATTGTCCAATTTCTTCCCAAGTGTCGGCACATTTCGCTGGCAATTCAAGCTGTTTTACCAGAAGGTTTTCTTGTTGTCTCGTTGCAAAAGCTCCTTCAGTGTCTTTCTGTTGACCACCATCATTGTTTTTTATTAAAGACACTTTTACATTCTAATCGTGCAGCGGAATTCAAGTGGTATATTCTTTCAAGTGATATCATGAATACATTGTGTTGGGGAGATGCTGAACGTACGTTAAAGCTCAAGCAGAGATTACAAGAACCGATGGAATATCAAGTTAATACACTCAACTTGTACAAGAATGAAAGTGATACATTGTCAGGATGTCGTACAAGTTGCTCTAGCTATGACATTTCAGATGATGATGATTGTAGCGATGATTGTTCGATTTCTAGTACCGACTCGAAGATTCTCTCGCCTTTAAATATTAAAAGAAAAGAACCATTGCACATTGCATTCGAACACAAGACAATTCAAGGACATGGAGTTAAGACTTTTCCATTTAAACACAAAGTGAAAGACCAAGAAAATTCGTCCAAGATTTTACGTTGTGTACCTCATGGGTTACGTCGTGTGATTCCGATTGTTGTCCCAATTGAACTTATCCCACCAAGTGAGTACGATTTACGAAGTACGAATGGGTTAATGAAATGTGTTAATAATCTTGCCCCACTACCAACACCGGAACAATTAAGTGGCAAACATTTGGCATTTAATGAATTACAACGAATTGTTGACATTTGGTTACGTCGTACCCTCTTGACATTATCAGAGAATGATGTTAATTCAGTGGTTACTGCGACATTATTATTGGGTGGTAGTTGGCACTTAAAAGTTGGAGTGGCAGAATCGGATTTAGATGTTGTGGCTTTAATGCCATATGTGATCACTCCTGATGTGTTTTTCACCTCCATGTGCGAGCATCTAAATCATGAAGAGTCCGTCACGAATCTTGTAGCACGACGTCAAGCTGCTATTCCTGTGCTATCATTTCAACTAAATGGTGTTCGTATTGACTTATTATTTGCTCGATTTGCACAAAATCAGACTGTTCCAAAACATTTACCCTTTTTACCTGGAGATGATGTAGAGATGATGCGTGATATGGACGCAACATCTGTACGATCATTATCAGTTGCACGTGTGGCATCACTTATTTTAGAACTCGCACCAAATGCAATTGTCTTTCGATCTTGTTTACGTGTCGTACGACTTTGGGCAAAACGTCGTGGTGTATATTCGAATAAAACCGGTTTTCTTGGTGGAATCTCATGGGCTTTACTTGTTTGTTTTGTATGCCAAATGTTTCCACGTGCAAGTGTGGCATCATTAGTTCATCGTTTTTTTTCGGTATTAGCAAAATGGCAATGGCCAACACCAATTTTAGTTGCTCACACATCCGTTGAAGGCACATTTGATCGTACAGTACAATGGAATCCGCAACTTAACATACGCGATCGTGCCCATCTCATGCCAATTATAACACCAGGTTTTCCTGCTGTTAATACTGCTGTAAATGTGAATCTGTCAACACTTTGTGTATTACGCGAAGAGTTTGCACGTGGTCAACGAATTATGGATGATTTACGTCGACGTAGTCTCAGTCATCCATCATCGTGGACACAATTATTTGCACCGACAGAAGTATTGGTACGATATGACAATTATGTAGCCATTAAATTGGGTGCACCTAATGAAGCAACTTTAGCCGAATGGTCAAGTTTTGTGGCAAGTCGAACACGCAAATTAGTGGAATCGTTGCAATATACAACATCTGTGGCATCACTTCACCCTTTGCCAGATCTGATTCGTCCACATCATGAAACACATCAAAAAGACCAAGTTATGGGTTACTATTTTATTGGATACACAGTTAACGCACCTTTAATACCTCAGCGCTATCGTAATGATCGCAGGTTTGCTGGTCGTGCTTTCATGACGTCAAAATTTGAATTGGAACAAGTAGCTCAAAAGAGTGTGGCATCAGCTAGTCGATATTTTCTGGCAACAGAAGTTGCTTCTGCAAATGAAAAAAAACCTGGAATGGAAATTGACATTTCCTGTTGTTTATGGAACGAGTTACCTGAAACCATTTTCCCGGGTGGTCGTACAGCAGCTATTGGTGATCGTGCACAATATTTTCTCAGACATGCACATGATGTGAATCTTACTTTAGGTCTAGCTAGGTAAAAAAGATATTTTTGGTTAAGTAGGAAAATATTTAAGACACAAAACAAAATTCACGATAAAAAGTAATATAGTAATAGTATACGTTTGACTCACAAACTTTTCGTTCAACGACATTGGAATCACATTTCGTCCTTCTCGCATTTCACATGAAACGAATGATATTCTTTTTCAAGAATGTTGGGATCTTCAAAATTAATATCGGCTAATTCCGAGAATTCATTCAATGTCTCATCAACATTCTCTTCCATTCTCTTATTAGAACTTTCACGTGGTTTCATCTCGGAACTCAAGCTCGCACTTCGAACTTCATCAACTGGACTTTTCAATCTTGTCATCATTTGATCTCCTTTCAATACATTCGACGACTCATTAAATTCATTCATTAAGTCATTTGAAGAATTCATTCCTGACGTCAAAATGTCCTTTGATTCCATTTCTTGCGACGTAATTTCTTCACTGTATCGAGAATTAAACTCTTTCTCTGTTTTACTATCGCGAGAATCTCCTTTTGAAGTATGAGATGCGACTGAACCTCGCGACTCTACACTTGATTGCACCTTTTGAACAATTGGATTCACTGACATTTGCATAAATCGCTCAATTGAGTCTAATACGTCAAACTTTCGTGGCTGCACTGAACTCGGTTGCTCGTTTAAAATATTCAAGACTAATACAATATTCTGCATCATTGACTGAGCTTTGATACTGTAAATCGAATTTGGGGGTGCTGTATGGTGTGCCAATGCCCGTAATGCTGTGCGAAGTTTCTCATTCGATGCAACTTTTAATGCTCGAACGCGTTCCCAATATGTTTGTGCATTTTTCTCCCACTTGTCACTTGCATTTGATATCCACGAATGTCCATACGAATACGTCGTCATTCTCTGTTGTTGAGCCATTCGTAAAGTATGACGATCTCGACTTCGATGTACCTCAGCTTCAGCTGAAACGTGAGGATTCACAAATTTTCCCATAGGTGAAGTAAATGAAGTGGTTTCGAAATTGTTTGTAACATTTTGTAGTTGAAATTCAAGTTGTTTTGCTTGATGTTGCCATCGTGCTAATGCATTTCTTTGATTCCATAACAATTCAATTAAAATCGACTTGTCTAAATGTTGAATCTGTGCTGAAAAATCTTGAAACGTTGTTACACGCGATTGATTTGGTTTTGATTGTTGTAAATGAGGATCTTGACGTGTTTCCATCATATTTCGACAAGTTGTTTCTTCTATTCTGTTATGTAATTCATTTGAGAATGAAACATTCCAAGGTGGTGGATAAAATGACGTGTCGAGACTTGAATGTGGTATATTATCCATTTGTTTGAAACCATTTAATTGATTTCCTTGATGCGATTCAGTGTTAGAAAACTGCTGACCCATTAACGATTGAAATGATGTGGTTGAACGAGGAGTCGAAAAACCACCAGAGTGATCACATGCATTCAAAGTATTTTGTTCTTGTGCCTTCGCAAGTGCTTGAACGTACTCAAAAGTATGAGATTGAATTGATTCAAAGCCTTGAGTATCGTTTGTTTGTTCGAGTTCAAACTCCATAAGTTTATGAATTGCATGCTCCATTGCTGTAATATATTGATTCTATTGATTTTATAAAAGTGAGATGAAATACTATTTTTCTTTGATGTCAATAGGAATAGAAATAGAAACTTACCCGAGTTGCAGCATTTTGACACGTTTCCATTTCCATATTGGTTGCAAGTTGCCGAGTTTTTGCATCATCTTGTGTTGGATGTGTACTTTGCAATTGACGATAACTGTAATTGAAATAACACACAAGTCAAAGGTTAGAATTATTCCAAATTATCAAATTGAATACTCTTTCCGACATTCGTTGCAAATAATTTCGTCGCAATTGCGTATCTTTTGCTGGTGGTACTTCTGTTGCATCATTTCCATCAACTTGTTGCATCTCATCGTTCTCGGTATCATTCATTTTCATCTGATTCTCAGATGCTTCTTCCGAGTTTTCACATATGGTCTCAGATGATGCAACTTCATGTTTTTTTTTCTTTTCTTGATTCTCATCTTTCTGATTCGCATCTTCCTCAGTTTCTTTTTGTGACTTAAAATGTTGTAGACTTGTGTCTTTAATCTCCAATCTTTCATTCTTCTTATCTTGTGATTCTTCTAATGTCTTGTACGCATGATTTGTATTCGACTTTGCGTCATTTAATGATACAGACATCATCACTCGTGTCATGCGGCTTTTCCGATCGGGTAGTTAATAAATGTGAAGGATTGCCAGGATCAAAAATGAACCAATCAAAACACGAATAGAAGACAAGAAGTTGCCGTCGAATATTACTCACTGTACCAACGAGTTACACAGTTTTCACTGTACCATTTTATAGACACACACACGTTAAATCGACTTTGAAGCAAGTTGGAGCAATGACGATCAACTAAAAGGAAGTAAACGTTGTATATTATATAGATGTGTTACTGTAAAGGCTACAAAACTCATGACTTGCTTCTATACGTATCACATTTACTAGCTGGTACATGTACCAGTTCGTAACTCTACTAAATGGTACAGCAGTACCACTACTCTAACTTATCTCATACTTGAGCTCGCGATCTTAAGCTGCACAGTCGTTGGTGTAATTCATTACGAACGTGCAATTGATCCACACGTTTGGCTTCAAGTTTTGGTAGTGGAATTGTTTTTGTCGTCACCTGAATATCTTTTCCAAATGTTAGTACAGATGTACCCTCGTTATTATTTGTCTTATAAAATTGATGGGCAAATACTACAATCGATTGTAGCGATGACATGACATTTAAAACAAAAGTTTGAAGCTTTTTTTGATAAAATTCCATCAGTCGATTCGTTGCAATTGCTTCATGAAATATATTTCCTGAAAAATAACTTAATTCATCAAGATCACGAGTTAAAATCTTTTCAAAACGCTGACGTTGATTGAAAGTACAAGTAAGTAATTCCCACGCAATGTCATTCTCAAGAAACAATTCAGCTTGACCAGAACCATCATCAATGATACAACGTAGAGTTGTATCCATATAGGTACAATTTGAAAATTCACGAGAAGTTACTTTGTACCACTTCGATGTACAACTTTGTAAAGTGTTCCATTGAACTGGTACGTCTGAATGTTTCCACAATCCACAAGATTTCAAAAATATCAACTTTTGATGACATTTGCGACATTTTCGTTTAAGAACGACGTAATTAATATGTACAACATGAACAACATAACGATGAATTAAGTTGTCAATGTGTGTACCACAATAAAGATCATTTAAAAATGATGTGGACATGACACCATAAATTTGTGCATCTGATAATTGAGATGACAATGTCATAACTTGACGTACTGCAGAAACATGAGTCCAATTTAAAGAAAGTTTTAAACTTGAACGTGCATAAAATCCTTCAAGACGAGAGAATTCAACGATTTGATGTCGATCTAATGTATCAAATCCATGAAAACGTGATGTATCAATACGAATATTCACAGTTTCAAGATGTTTGAGATCACGTAAAGTTACGATGCATTGAAGATATCGTTTTGAATGATTTGAATGATGAAATGAACCATCTCGAAAACGTTTTTCACGATTTGAACGATGATAAAATTGCCAACTGTACCGTTTTTTAATGATAATTCCAATGATTGAGATGAGATGAAGTTTGTGAAGCTTTTCATTGAGTTGCTTTGTCTCGTTTTTCTTAATATTCTCGATAGAAAGTGGATGAAAAAACAATTCAAAGACTTGAGAAATATTTGAGACTTGCTGCATACTTTCAATTAAAATGTTCAATGCGAGAAATTCCAACTTTGTCACGTATACAATCGTTTGCTTTACATTAAAAGGCATGAAGAAATTCATTGACATTCCATTGTTGACATCTTGCTTTCTTTGTTTACAAATTGTATGAAGATCACAGATTGAAATCTTTGACTTGGTTTCAAATGTTAATGGAACAATTGATGTTCCCATTTCAACTTGATAGATTGAAAATTGTCGTTTTTGATTCATCAAGTTTTTGACATTATTTTGATTGAATGTCTTTAGTTTTTCAAAACACAAGCTTTGACTTTCCATTGCACATTTTGAAAATTCTTTTGATACTTGAATAACTCGATCTTCAATGCTACAATCTTCCGAAGTAGTCGCAGTTTTGCGTACTAAAGTGACTTTCATTCGATACCAACGACTTTTCTGAACAAACCAACTCGAATTTTGAGTATTTATTAGAATGTCAGCACTGTATATCGATGATAAAAATTGATCTGGAGGTAACATTTGTCCTACGGGACATACAAGACCATGAAGTACACGATACTCAGGTAAAAGTCCTGAGGATCTGAATGTAGAAGACGATAAAGGATCTACATGTGTCACAAGGTAAATAATTTCTTGAGTCTCAACTGCTGCATTTTCTTTCGCAAAAGAATTCAAGACATCATCATCGTGTAAAGGAATATACTCGAATTGATCTGCTTTACAGCTTAAACGATAAAACAGTGGCAGTTGATCTTCTTCTTGAATATCTTGATTTGAATTATAATCCTCAACCATAAGGTTAAAATTATGAAAGAAATACATTCCACACTCATTTGTTTCACTCACATCAAAAGTTCCACCATCTAGATTTAAAGCAAGTGATCCAGTTCGATCAAAAAGTTCAAGATCTCCACTATCAATATTTCCTCGAATACATCCAAGTAACAAACACCAATCGAGATCAGTTGCTGGAATACAAATGGATTGATAAGAATCGTCCACTTGTTCATTTTCAGTATTTAATTCACGAAATTGTTTCATCTTCTTTGCCCCAAATTTCTGTACTTCATGAATCGTTAAAACTCGACTACTTGTCACATGTTTTTCTTGAGTAGATACTTTGATTGTTGTGCATTTATCTGCATGTAAAGAGTGACATTTTAAAAAGTGTGCACCAAGTGTCATCCTAGTTAGATTTTGATCACATATTAATGTTAATTGTAATCTCTTTGCTAGAATTGAAGCAGCTTTTCGTCGTCGAATTTGATGAAATGATAAATTGGTTGATGTGGTGTCGAAATTTTGTTGATTTCGAAAGAAAAACTTTTGATTTAGCAATTCCAACATCTCTAGTAACCACATCGAGACAATCATCGATTGACGATGAAAATTGCCTAAAAGAGACCATTTCGTTTGTGTTTGATCACGTTTTGAGTGAAATCTTGTGTTGATACAAGCACCAGTTTGATCGCTAAACTTTAAAATTCTCATTTGGCTTCGAGGACATAATCCTATCACTAATGTACCACCTACAGGACTTGGCCAGAGTAGAACGTGAGTTGCAAATAGTCGTACACTTGTACCTTGACGTAATCGAATGATTTCATTCGTATATGGATAATGAAATAAACATACGATCACTCGTGTTTTTCCAGGTCCAATTAATTCAATACATTCATCCCAAAGTAATCGAGATACTTGTCCTTCGTAATCTAAAAGCTTTCCGATACATTTCAGAGCAAAACTTTTGGTGTATGTGATCATAGGATCATTTAAAGTCTGTACGATATTCTTTAGTGGCGACGATGGTTCGTTCCAACTCAAAACCAAAGTTGTTGGTAATTCTGAATGAAGTTTATCCGCTTGACTTGATGTTTGTAGCAACAACATGTTACACTCACGTGAACGTACTTTAATTAAATTCGTTAAAAATACAATTTGTCCTGGTCGAAGAAATTGATTCCAGTGTATATGTTTCATTCCTGTAAACATCACATATACAATACTTTGTGTAGAAATGTCATTGTGATGAGAATAGTTTTCAATTTCAATGAAAAAGTGACTATTTTCATGAGTTTCTTGACGTGAGATTGGACTTACACTCGTCACACGCCCAAAAACAAAATAAAATTTACGTTTTGATGTTTTGTTCTCTGCTACCATCGTTTTGATCTTTTTCTTTTGATCATCTTGATATAAAGTAGCAAGTCTAGTCCAAGTTTCCAAACTTGTGTAAAGCGGTTCATCAATCATTGAACAATTTGTTTCAAGTACTTGAATAACATTTTGAAGTGTTAAATTTTCGTACGGATCATGGATTGGTAAAAGTGTCGTCACAATTTCATCGTGTACTTCTAGAAACAACGACTGGAGATTGTGAGAAACCATGCGTACAAGAATCCATTGCTTAATAAGCACCAATTGATTCATCACTTTAACATCAGGATTAACAAAGAAAGTCAAGAGTTTAACATTTTGATCACATAATTCGAAATTCTCCAAACATTCGACATTCGTTCCAAGATGTAGATAACCCAAAAGCCAGATAGAATCAGATGAAAATGTCTGATGATGTTGATTTTTATTATCAATTGAATGACAATTGATACCATAGGATGCAAGTGATTCATTTGTCTTATTTACTTGTAAGAAACGTAATAGCTTCCCAATACTCCAAAATGAAAGACAAAGAGACTTTGAATGACTCGATGAGAGCTGCTTGACTTCCCTAATATTAAATTTCGTACAAATGAATATTAATTTTCATTGAATGGAGAAGAATTCGATTACCATGCTCTTCTTTCTTGTCGTAATTGATGCTTTACATGTTCTTCGAGCTTCATGAGTGAGTTTTTATACTAAGTGGGGAATTGTGTGGATGACATGAAATGAATTGATTGATGTACAGCACATCTTTAGATTATGAATATTTTAATTTATATTAGGTATTGAAGTGACATGAACACTACTTATCATTATACAGTTGTTTGATATAGATGGTTCTATACAGACTTGCATTACAATTGATATATTGTTCTTGGATTAAAGCGACAAAGTGATTAGATACTTTAGAGGTTCTCGATTCAACACTTGTAATCCCATCCCTGAGAGTCAAAGATCTTGCTGAGCAAGTTGTACACCAACCTTGTTGCACTTGGTAGCATTTGTCAACTTAAAGGCTGATTTCCATGAGTCTATATTTTCTGCAAAGATGGAATGACGTCATCTGAGATTAATTAGCAACACCCCATTTGGAGAGTGTCACAGCCTCTTGAACTATATTCCGTTCACCTCAACCCCCACTTAATACAAAACAATTAAAGCTTCTGTGGTCCCACGCAGGTTAGAGCTCAACATTTCCTCGGACGAAATTATCGGTCGTATTTGAGTTCATCGTGAATTTTCGTCACGCTGTATTCGATTGTCGTAAGCCTTGCTATCTGGATCGTCTTGAAAGATTGAGAGTTCAATTGCGCTTTTTGAAATACAAATGTCTTTTCACTCGATATAAATGATATCGATATCATGTACACCACGTTTTCGATTTCATCAACATCGCATCTTCTAGAACAGAGCCTCTTAGATGCATATACCTTAGAATAAGTATTTTAAGTATTTTAAATCCGAGTCTGCTACATATCACCGTAAGCATTTTTGACAATTCTATGCACTATTACGGGGTACGTATAGTCCTATGGTGTACATACACTTAACACAATTGACACTTTTCGCCAGGCTTAGAACCAAGCTCAGAACAATCCCCGTAATGAAATTTGGTGGAACTTGTGTGAGGGTGATATATTCCTTGAGGAACGTCCGCGGTACGTCGGCCTCACGTCAAAAAAGATAGATAGTTTTATGTAATTGGCTACACTTAGCTATTACATAGAGGTAAATCTATGCACCTTCAGTATGCGTCGTGAATATTTATGGAAAAAGATTTTACAGTATGGTGTTCCCACATGCGTATGTAACATCTAATATGAAGTCGCAAACGTTCTGTGTGGAACAGAATGCTTGTTTCTACTTCGGATGTTGTGCTTGTGACGAGACCTACGCATCTCTGTCTTTGAAAGTCGGTGGTCACTTCTATTGGATACTTTTCATGAAAGCAGAATGTCAAGCTTTTCAGTGTTCAAGCTCCTTATACTCAAGATCTTGTATAAGTTCAAGCCACAGTGCACACTTGATTGTATAAATAAGGATAATAAAAGTTTTAATTTTGGGGCTCTTGGGTGCTTTGCCTGTAGCCATAGGAGTCATTAACTCATCTGCAAATTTGCCTCCTAGGCCTTGAGTCGTTCTTCTTCCCTTCAAGTCGGGACTGTCCTTCTGCCTTCGAGCTGGAAACCGCCTGCCCGTCGTACAAGCGTGTGTGTTGTGTTTGAGTGACTGTTGTGTTCAGTGCCCTTTTACGTTTTAGTTTTGGATATTACACATTTGGTTTTGTTTTTTATGCAAAGTAATATTTTTCTTAAACAGCAAGGAAACCCAGGGGACTTGTATTTGATGAGCCCCTCGATTTCGCTCCCAAATGAATTGTTTTGAACACGGAATCTTACAGTCAACGTAATGCACCCAATTCTTTCAAGAAGTATCACTGTTTTTGATGCAGGTACAAAATTTGATGATTTCTGTGAAAATCATTATATTGTCTTATTAGTTCGGCAATGGCGCTAATTAGTGCGTTGAACTAAACTTAAAGCGGCAGTGAATGGCGATCACATGATGAGGCAGAAAGTAAAGATCGTAAGGTGCAACCTCCAGAGTGTATATTTTCGAATTTCTGAGTTGGACCTCGACGTGCCCCTAAGAACGGATACAGAGTCGCTTGATCAGGATAAATTCTTGAAGATGGAAATCAACTTGAACGTCCATTGCTCGACCGCAGGATTTGGGTCTCAACACGAGAACCTTTTTTCATTGGTTGCCGGTCGGAGAGTCTAAGCACGCGTGGCTCATTAAGCCATCGCTTTTAAGGTGTAAGCTGAGGAAACGAGACAACTCCCGGTGGTTTCAAATCTTAACACCGCCTGCACTAGGATGTGCGGTAGGAAGACGAAATTTCAGCGCAGTTAACGCTTGTTTGTAGACTTTACAATATGTGGGTTGTCTTGCAAATGGCAGATTGATTGTGACTGCCATTTCGGGGGAAGATGTATCAGCATGCATATCTTCTTATGACGGATGTCAATACATACCCATTTTCCTATTAATTCTTTGTCACATAGCAAACTCTAGAACTGCCAAAGTGAAGTGTGACGAAGAGGTTATATGATTAGTTCTTGGTACCGATGATAGCGATAAACACCGTAAAGATAAGGTCCGTATGATAACTATGATGCTAGTCTTTCAAATTGCTAGGTTTTTAATGTAAGCGACCAAACCATTTTAGACAATGAAGCCATTATACCACTTCTTTTGGAAGTCGAGAGGTGTCACGGCGGATAATATGCGCTCACGTCGGGTGGAGTAAATAAGATAGTATTGACTTAGATGCCTGAAATGAATGATTTGATTACGTAATGAAGTGAAGATTACCAGAATCAAAAAGCTTTGATTCACTAAGTAAAGAAGGCATACCAATTTTAACTCTTCTTGGTGTGTTACCAAGTCCTGGAAAGATATCAATATATCTAATGAACACATTAGCATGTACTTGGTGTTAGATCTTCAGCAAATATTAGGCTTTACATACAAGGAGACGAAATACAATTACGCGACATATACAAACAATGGCAGAGAACACACCGATTGCAATAGATTATCTGATAAATATACTAGTCATGAATTCAGCGCTATGTTGGGCAAGATTGATGTCTGAAGCTTGTAAAATGTTTTCGCAACACGTAATGATGTTAGAATCAGTGGCGCAATCAATATCGCGATATCCTGGAGAAAGTGCGATGCTTAAAGGTTTTTGACATAGTTGGAAGATATTGTTAGATGTTGTGGCTTTTTACCAAAAATTGATAATGAAAATGGTGAACCCTGGAGCGCATACTTGAAGTGGCAGGAAGCGATATTGCAATCAAAAAATAATATGACGTATGGATGATTTCAAACTGATAATTTCTTTCGAATGAAAGAATTCAACTTCTCAAGGAGAATACGGTACGTATTATGAGAGCGAGGTTCTAAATGGGTCAAAGACGCAATGGCGACGAGGAAGTAGGAGCAACAAGATCTGATGAGACGCAGATGACTTGCAAATGTATTTAGACAAGAAGGGTAACACGTGGATAACTAACAGCAAGGACAGATAGTTGAATGTAGTCACACTCGGCGCATTAAGCACTAGAAGAGTGAAATGGCAGTAGCAAGGCGATTTGCATTGCATTAGACATCTCTTGCATTTTAAATTTAAATGTGCTCTTGAAGCTATTTTTTCCTCTGACAAGCAGTGCCAAGATTAGCTTTTTATTGGACGTATCTGCAAAGTGTGCTCACAAATCGTATCGAGCTTGGATGTGTCGATCCTTAGAGCAGACGTGATCCAAAATAATTTTTGAAAACGTTGCTTCATTGAAGGACAATCTTTTCAACAACTGTGTCACGTCAATATCAATTTCAGCTCTGCGGTTTTGCCAATCTATGTTTTTGTAATATTTTTTAATGTGAGAAACTCGTAACCTGTAGGTGTAGCCCAAGCAATTCAGAAATGATTAAACGATTTTTTTGTCACTACCCATAAAAGCCTCACTGCTCCCTATGGCGGACATGTCAGCAGTAGTGCTGACTTGTCAGTATTGGTTTACTTCTTTCAGTGTAGATCATGCGTTTTAACCTCAGGGTCTGACCATAAATTAGCGACTTGCAGCTATTCGTCAACCTCACCAGCACTGGCGTGGGAGACACCAGCTTACAGCTATCATTGGCCAGCCTTCAGGGATACACTATGGTGACCATGACAAACCATGAATCATACAGGCCTCAATCGACATACACTCTGGAAACCGCATTTTACGAGCATTTTAGTCCCAGGTTAAGATCGCGGCTCGCTGCAGCTTCTGCCATCGCGATGTGCTTAATGTACTTTGCGATATCTGTGCACGAATACTTTTACAAGTTCTGCAGCGAGACGTCGTCACTTTAGCTCGCACCAAAAGCGCTCCCACTTCCTAGTAAAGGATGATTCATGGCTAATAGAAGCAGAATTTGCTGACTTCCAGCCGATCCGTGGCTTATGACGGGTTAGTCATGGCTTACCTAGAGTGAAATCATCCCTTGCAACCAGGCCTTGGTCTGGATATCATTCGACGCAGTCAAATTCACAATTTTTTTACTTTTACAGGAAGGTTTCAAATCCCTTCCACACTATTACGAGTGTCATCGTCGCAAGATGTACGGATACCGTATCCTTACACAGTATCTTAAATACCTCTGCGTACTGCCTGCTATTTCCGACAGTCGTCGTACTTTCTTGCACAATATCAGGACTATCTGCGTCTTCACAAAACCTATGACGTCGATGTTGACAGCTAACTTCCTGTGATGTGAGTTCCCATCTATGCAAAATATTTGCTCTTTTGGGGGCTGAAATGCATTAATTTGACCTTTACGAGGCACAGATGAACCCACTTCTTTCCCAGCAGGCGCAAGGCAAAATAATTATGTCTAAAAAATTATCGGACGAGTTTGCATGGGAGCTCTACCCTTCATTATTTTCAGTCGAAAAAGATAGAGACATCAAGAGCACAAATGTTTGGTACTGCCGAAATTGCAACGTCGGCGAGTACGATGGATCTGCTCCGCGGCTAAGAAATCAGTATCTTTTTCTTGTTCAATTAGCTGTCCTCGTGACGACTAGACACATTCGATACGCTTATGGCCTTCGTCGATCATGAGGCGATAAATAATTGGTAACTTAAGGGCCGAAATGTGCTGGTGTGGCATACAAGGAAATCTCAAGCTATTGTCGGTGGAAGTGCAACTAGCTCTCATAATGAAGTCACTGATGCTGAATGTCCATACCATTAAACCCGAACGATTGATTATCTGATTAATTAGGAGAATTGAAATGTCGTGAACGAAGTCTCCCGACACATAAAGAAACAGCGCAACGAGCTTGCGAACTCCAAAATTTGAGCTCGTGCACGAAAATGGGTTGGCCATTCGTTAAGAACTGTTATCGTCGCAACGGCAATGAACAGTCTTTTGAGGGCGTTATCACTTTTTCATGGATTGTCTCCAAATAGATGTGGCTTGCATCAAGACCGTTTAAGCACCAACCCGTTAACTGATGAATCAAAGGGCGTGGCAATTGAAGAGCGCCGCGAGGGATGATTAAAGTACAACCAGTAAAATCTCTAGAAGCGCTCAATCGGCAATGGGTCTCAACGATGATGAAGAGGAAGAAAAATCTCTTAGTCTTCGAGTGGCGCCCTTGATATCGCTGAGATCACAGCTGTGACAGTATCAATCTGCACCCTGCGTGATCACCTCTCTCGCGACGGAGGGCTAGAAAGGGTCGGGATTCCACGCGGGGTCGTCATACAAAACCTTCCCTTACGGGGAGATGCCGGGTCCCAGGAGGCGCAGAACAGCCTTCTGGAAACTAACACTTGCCAATCTCGAAAAACAATTTATTCAAGCGCATACACTCGAGCACGACTCGCAAGTTTTTCATGTCGCTCTTCACACCTAATGCCTCGTTTTTGCACAACTATGGATGGATATTTCGTCAAGAAAGATTGTGCATAACCACGATGTAGCCAAAGCAGCTAAGTCACCACCCAATTGAACTTCGCTGTTGCGTGAGACAGACCCTGTGGAATAACAAGACCTTCCCAAAGTGTCCTGCTCGGGTACTCGCCGCGGCGATAGGAAAACGCTGTGACTTATAAGCAGCAAATATCACCCACAAGACATATCAAGGGTACTGAACTAAATGCAACCGACCGTGTTTTTTAAAAACACATCCCTTCGAGAAGTCGCAGTTTGTTCCGGAGTATTGTGGCGGCATTTAGATTGTTACACGTATGCCCAGTTCGCCTCATTACCGTCAGCCTTTTAAAACGGAAAGTCGACGTCAAGTGGAGCGATTTACCCAATGTTCAGTTCTGCTTAATCTTTTATGGATGATAGCTTCTAAGAAGTCTCACTGTGATATAAATAAAATCATTGACGAGTGATGTACGATTATTTAGTCGTATTCATGACTCAATTCCCTATTCGGAGGTAACACGCGTAGTCGATCTCTCGTAACCACGTCGTGATCTTTCTTTATAAAGACATAAACAAATTCATAGAATGCTCAAGAATTGCTATTCCATTCTTCGTACTGAGTGTGCTGCGATTTTCTTCAATGTCAGCAGTATCCATAACAAGTGAAGTGCGCAGCCCTTGGCCTTGATCAGTCGTACCGTCGCAGATGAATTCATCGTCTTCTGCACAGTCTCCTCCAGCATCTCGAGGGTTTCTGCCGGCCATAATGTAGACTTACAAACTCTCGGACTATCCCGATCGCTGTGAATAGTTATCTGGTCGATTATTCGCGAAGTTTTACTGCCCCCATACAGTGAGCGCGTCACACGGAAGTGACAACCCAAACCGTTAACCAAGAACGATATATTATTAACATTTTTTGGCAGAGATTTCTTCAACTTGTGACTTACCATGGCTTTTAAATCTTACAGCTTTGACGCAGTAGGCACTAGGTTACAGCTGATATTGGCCACAACACCGGAGATAACATCGGTGATCACCCCAAACCGTCGTTCACGCCACTTTTGAGCGATATATACTCTGGAAATTACAATAAACGATCATTTTTTCTGTATCCTCAGACCGCGGCATACTACCGCTTCTGCCTTCTAAAATTTACCAAAGGCATTTCAACATAGCTTTGTTCGGCAGTTCGAGGAATCCCATGCTCTGCACCAAAGCTTATCTAGCTTTTGCCAACACTAAAAGCACCCCGCTACCGAAGCTTGCAGCGGGGCTGCCGTACTTTGCGCTTTGAGTAAGCGTAAGTTAGGTCACCGACCTTTCGTTCTAAACTTAGAACAAGTACGAGTTAGCGGATCGCAATTCGCTAACTCCAAGAGTAATTCTTGCCTTAACCCAAGGCTAATTAACTCTTCCGCTTAAATCCAAAACTGACTTTTATTTATTTTAACTTGCGGCAACGCCGCCAAATTTTTAATGTATAGATTTTCCTTATTATATAGTGAAATCTAAATACATGCATAACTACTGGCTACCCAGCCACGTACCGTATTCTTATTTGGGTGCAGTCACACCATGCCCATCTTGTGTGACACACACACCTGTTACCAGGGTACATGTAAGCCCGTTACACTCTCCCCCATTAATATTTACAGTTCCAATCGATTATTGCCTCAACGAGGCTTGCATGTCCGCTAGATACTGCAGCTTGGTTCATTAAAACAAAAAAACGACTTCCGTGCCCAATAAGCCCTGTGTCAACGACACTGAAGTCATTAAGTCTCGCTGGTTCTGATAGCGCACACAGGCAGAGCTCAACTTCGTCTCCCGCACGCGGTGCAATGTCGGACAGTGCGTCCGCGGCATCGAGGGATGTAAATCCTAGGCTTGATGAGCCCGAGCGTCCCGCTCCGCTCACGCTATCAGTGACGAGTGACCTCATTGAGAATGTGGAGGTGGTCGACTTCGAGTCTCACACTCCTTTTCCCGGGTGGGATGACAAGGAAGGCGAGCCCCGCCAGCGGTGTGATACGAGCCCTGCTCGCGCCTTGCGGACCCCATGACGTTTCCTGACCTCTCATCACCTGAGGGACGTGGTGTCATCACCAATAACCCCGATGAGGCACAGAAGCGGCTCTGATGCGCGCCCATCCATGGCTGGTCATGGACCCTCGTGTGGAATATAGCTTCCGCCCGGGGCCCGCTGTGGAAGCGAAGGACGCGGTAACTCGATCGTTACGAGTCAACATCATCGGGTCCCCGGCCATTACGGAAGATGAGCTTGCCGAACGAAAAGTTCTTAGAGCTCGTTTCTTGGTTCCACAATAATTTCCGTTGGAAGCTTATCGCACTCGTCCGCGTGCTCAACGAGGTGGCTCTCGTGTACCCGCAATGCGGACAATACCTGTAGTGCTCGCCCCTGGCGAAAGCGATACAGATGACGAAGCGCTCTGTGAGCGG